AGGAGAGCACCAAAGATGTAACACAGCAAGGATTACTCAGGAGCAAAGCCTCATGTCTAAAATTTACTGGATTTGAATGACTTCAGGCTAAGAACCCAAATGTAACTCCAGATGTCAGTGCTATGCCCACCTGCAGGTCCACATCACCTATGGATCTGGGAGTGGGTCTAAACCTAGAGCTGTCCTGCTCCCTTCCTCCATACCCTGGGGAGTTTCTTTTGCCTGACACTTTCTTATTAGGGATGTACAAGAAACTGAAAAGCACCCAAGTTCTGTTGAACAGAGAACAAAACGCTGGGAAAATAATGAACCCATCCTGACTTTTTTTTTTTTAAATAACAGGCTTAAAAATCCAAAGTAATGGATGTTCGGATCATGTCTGGGGTTCTGCATGTGTCTGATAAAACAGACGCAGGTGTCAGAGCCATTTATGGCTGCAGAGTCGGTCAAAATCTCCCATCTCTGGAAAAAAAAATCCACCAAACAAACCTGTGATATTTCACCAGCTGCTCGTGCTGAAAGGTGGTTTTATTCCTTATTTACTCTGTCCTCATTGGCATGCAGAGCTAGACTCATGCGTCTCCTCTTTGACCCCTGGTGTCCTTTCCCTCCCCGGAGGTGTCTCTCCCTCCCCATCTCAGCATCACCACCAGCTCCTCTTCCAGAGGACAGCACAGCTGCCAAGTTTGCCTCCAGCCACCCATCCCCACCCATCTGCTCTCCCATCTCCTCATTTTGCACGTGAACCACAGACCTCCTTCCAGCAGGACTGCTGCTTGGGAAGAGCCAAGAACCCTTACTCAAGGCGAGATTCCTAACGCCCTGGCAATGAAGGCATGCGTGGCATTCCAGCAGAAGGAGATCCAAGCAGCCAGCCTAGCTCTCAGCTTCCAGTGGCTTTTGCACCTCTGAACGTTACACCCAAGGGCATCATGCATTCGCCTTGCACAGGTGCTGCATGCAACAAAGAGCCAACTCCTCCTGCTGGGAGAAGGCTTTCTGCATTGCTATTCCTTGCACAGGGTGTCAACAGTTTGCATATTGTAGCTAAGACGCTGTCTTCCAACCTGGTCCACAGTCCATTACAGTTAGGATAAAGACTTGTGGTGTCATTAATGAGCGCCGGATCAGCCCCTTTGTCGGCATAAATCTCTTTATTGCATTGGGGGGATTGCATTTTCCCATTTGCTTGTTTGTTTGGCTCTGTATTCTCATTACAATTTCTATTAGCCAGTTCTCCCGCTGATGTGGTCGTAGATTAAGTCCTTCCTATTTTTCCCCTTTCCTCCTGAAGGAAAATAAGGGTGTCTGAGCTCCAGCACCACAAACAGAAACGGGCAGGCTGGGGGGTCTGGAAGAAGAGAGGAGCAGCTCTGCTAGACCAAGGCTGGATAACTCCCCTGAAGCCAACAGAAGGGGCACAGATTCAGGTCCCACGCTTGATTCTGAGCTCAGTCGTGGTGAAGGCTGTCCCACTGCTGGGACTCCAAGCTCCAGGTGAGAGCAGGGTGCTGCTGGCCATCTGCAGAGCCCCCCTGCATAACACACTTTGCACTTTTCCCAACAGAGGGGCACATCCCACCACCGAAGACTGCAGTGCAAGCAGATGACTCACAGAGACAGAGAAAGCAAATGTTCCAAGGGCTACACAGAGACAAACACACTGATAGGACCTCGGGGGGCACCTAACATCAGATGAACTTCCATCTCATAACACTGGCTTAGCAATCAGAAATGCCACCCCAGCACCTTCCCACAGGACAGCTGTGTACCTACAGGCTCTGATCCTCATCCTACCAGCCCTTCCCATCCCAAAGTGCCATCTGCTGGATTTACACCTTCCTCAAGCTGGCACTCAGCCTTAGGATGGACACAGAAATGCACAAGATGCCCCCAGCCCCAAAAGCCACGCTGAGCTCGAGGCAGCAGAGCTATAAAGGGAAGCCCTCTCTGGCACAGCAATCAGGAGCGCATCTCATCTCAGATGGAAATTGTACTCAGAAAAAATAAAAATAATCCATGCATATGACGTGTGTGTGTTTTTTCTCCCCCCCCCTTCCACTTTAGGCTGATTCCATCTCAGAGATGGGGGAGAGGTGGCTGAGATTTGCTGACATGTCACTTTAGCAATCAACTCCTCTCTCAGAAACGCCGTCGCAAGCAAAGCCAGAAGCAGCGCTGGGGATGCAATGGGGCTGTGCAGCCCCTCTGCTGTGGGTCTGTGGGTGCAGGGAGGGATCCAAATCCAACACAGAACAGAGCCGTGTGTGAGGAAGATTCCCTCCTGTGCAGCAAGCAGGCAGGTTCTGTTTGTATCCGTCAAAGGCAAACAAACATGCTGGATTTTGTTTTGTTTCACTGCCAAGTTATCATTTCTCCAAAATTACTTCCAGAGCACAACACAGGCAAAATGCATTTGTAAAAACAGGTTCAGGTAAAGCACTGTGGAGAGCAATGGCAAAGGGCACAGAAACCACATGAAACATAGGGGTTAGAAGGGATTCAGCTTCTGTTAAACTCAGATTTGACTCTTCACGGTGGAATCAAAGTGAATAAAAGCATCGGGAAAACCAGGGAGCAGTCAGGGAAAGAAGTGCTGCTCTGCTTGGATCTGCACCTGCTCCTGCTCAGGGCACTGTGAACTCATGGGGACGCCTGCAAGCACCCATGTGTGCTGCTGGCATTGTCAGAGCCGTGCGTGGGAAGTGCTGACTGATGCCTATCAGAGTGAAACCGCAATCAAACCTCTTGTTTTGGTGCTGAGAAAGCTCCTGCAGAGGTCTGAGAAATGGGTTGGGTTCGGCACTGCTGCAAGCACAGGGTGCGAGCTGCTTGTTACCAGGGTGGGTAGGATGCAACCAAGGTGTGGGATGGGATGGACCAGCCTCACCCTGACCGTGTGATGAAGAAAGGCACCCTGTGCTATCCCCAAGCCCTAAGCATAACCCCAAGAGCCCAACATGGGCACTGATAAAGGCACTGAGAAGTCAGGCTGGACATCCACAAGTCCTCTTCCCATCCCTGCAGTTTCTACTGCACCCCAGAGTAACTCGCTCACAACCACCCCAGGCACAAGCTCTATACCAGCATCTAACCACAGATTTACATTTAACCATGACCAAAGCAACACAAAAGTCTGTGTGCTTCAGCAGACATCCCAATACAGAAGGAAACAAACATCCCTGGTGCCCCCACTCCACTCTGACTCATCCTTGCAGGCACATGAGCGCAGCCCCATAGCACTGACTCCAAACGCACCATCCCCAACCAAAGCACCTGCAGCATTACACCCAAACATAACTGTGGAACAACACAGAGCAAAGCCTGCACACCTTTAAATGAGCTTTGGGGCTGTGCTTTGCTGGGCCTGGGCACAAGCTGCTCCCTGCAGCTATGCATTGTGCTGTGACCAGCACGCCGGACATGGAGCGGGGAGGGCATTGCAGGGCTGCTGGCACCCAGTGTGGAGTAACCTAATTGCAGCCCTCGTGGGGTTTTCACAGAAGCAGCAAAGTTTTTCAGCTTGCTTTCCCTTTTGTCAGCTGGGAAAAAAAAAAAAAAAAGAAGAAAAAAAGAAAGAACCATAAAAAGGGACCTCCAGAGACATATGCTTCCTTCCAAGTCCTTGGCTGCGGCTCGCCGTCCTCCCACCGCGCATGGAAATGAGTGGGAAAGGAGGAAAAAAGAGAGGAAGATCGTTTTCCCCCTCCCTGTGCTCCCAGCATCAGTGTGCTGGGCGGGAGGAAACACGCGGCAGCATTGCTATTCTGAACAAGTGAACTCCCAAACAACAGATCGATGGCTGCACCGCCAGAGCGGCTCATTGCTCCCAACCGTCCCCACCTTACACCAGCAGGAAAAAACCACCAAACTGCCACTGCAACACCTCTCCAGTGACCAAACTAATGCCATGAGATGGATAATTCCCAAAAGCAACGGGCCCAAGGGAAAGCACAATGGGAATACTGTCTGCAGGGCTGCTTCCCAAAGCCAGGTGCAAGATTTGTCACCCGTGTGTCACCACCCAACAGCCTCGCTGAGAAGGAAAGCAGCCCTGACTCTGTGCTGACTCACGCCGCTGTCCCTCTGCTTTCTGTGCAATGCTTGGTTTGTCTGCACGCTGCACACTGAGCAGGGCTGGGCACCGTGGGCAGGAACCCCAAGCAGAGCAGTTCTCCTCCTCCCAGTGAGTTTGCAGAGTGCCCATACCCACGGCTCCTGCACCTTTTGCTCCCTTAACACAAAACCTTCCCTCTTCGACATCCCATTGTAAATCCATCGGATTTTCGGTGCTTGGGAAAGCCCAGATGTTTGGAAGAGCTATTTTAACCAGAAGCCAGGAGGTGAGCTCTGATCCAACACACCCCTATGCACCCACACCCAACCTTTCTGGCCCAGCCATGACATGCCACAAGACAAAATCATTGGGATGGCACATGGCTGCTCCATTCTTTCCTCCTGGGAAGGTGCAGGGGCTGTGGGGCTGAAAGGCACAGCTACACGATGCTGAGTCCCAGCAAACACACAGGGAGAGGATTCACATTTGTAAGAGAGTCCGACCAAAGATCATCCCCTTGTTCTGTCATCCTGCCTTGGCCCTGCTCCACTCGTTCCCCTGTGCACACCCAACCCCGCAGATACCAAAGTCTCTCCGGAGTTGCAAGCACTGCTCCCAGCACAGCAATTAAAATGCAGCCTCGTACTGCTCGTGTCCCTGCCCAGCAGCCCCAGCAGGACACTGCGCCCATCTGCTGCGAGAATAGGGACCAGGAGTGGGGCACAGCGCTGGGCACAACCCCTGCTCCCATGGCACTGCTGCAGGCAGGACCTGAGCAGGGGGTGCAGCACACAGCCCCACATCCCCCCCACTGCCCTAAAGAGGGGAGCGGCACTCACAGCTTTTTAGTTCCCCAGCTGGGGAAACTGAGGCACATCCCAAAGGCACAGGCAGCTCCCACACAGCACAACTCCCCAGCACAACCCGAGGCAGCAGCTCCTACCTGAGCGTGGCACTCTCCCCTTGCCGCACAGTCACGTTGTCCATAGCTTTGGGGAAGGTGGCATCTCCGCTGCGCACGGGCACTCCTGCGGGCACAAGGAAGAGCAGCCTGAGACAGAGGACGACTAGGCACCTCCAGGGCAGGGCTAAGCACCCACCGACCCCCATCCTGGGCAGCAGGGACTTTTCCACCAGGCAAAAAACACACCCGACGAGGCCACCGGGAGCGAAAAGGGGGGAGAGGAGGGAGGGGGTGCGTGTGTGTGGGGACGGGGGGGGAGCAAAACCACCGGGGCGGGCGCGGAGGCGAGCGATGCGGAGCTCCACGGAGATCAGGAGAGCCCCTGGAAAGGCAGCCTGCGAGCACTGAGCCTGCCGAGCGGCATCCGGAGGGAGTCCCCAGTATCCTCGGGTGAGGGAGGAGGACGGGAGGGCCGGGGGGAGGAGGAAGAGGAGGAGGAGAAGTGGCAAAGGTGCTGGACGCTGGGCGAGCCGGCTCTTCCCGGGAGCAGTCCGAGGCTCACTTGGGCACGGAGGTGCCGGGGGCTGCGCCGCGCTCCCGCCCCGCACACACACACTTGTCCCGAGTTCGCAGCTCCCCGAGCGGGGGCAGTCCATAAAAACAAGGGAAAAAAAAAAAAAAAGAAAAAAAAAAGAAAAAAAAAAGAATGAAAGAATGAAAGAAAAGCCAACAACAGGCGGCAGAAAAAGACCACCACTCCCTGCAGCGAGCTAGCAAGCGGGTCCAGAAGCAACAAAGGCACAGCGCGCAAAGGCCTCCGAGTGCCCAGCAGTCCCTCTCCTCCTCCAGCCCCAGCGCGGGGTCCCAAAGGCAGGCTGGTCCCGGCGGGACGCAGGGCGCTGGGATGCCGGGCTGCGGGACGTCGGATGATGTTGGGATGTCGGATGATGTTGGGATGTCGGACACCCTCAGCAGCAGGAGGACGGGGTGCAGAAGGGCGGCAGCATCCCAGCCCCGGCGGCACGGCTGCTGGGGAGCATCCCTGCGCGGCACGCAGGCTGACTGCCCGGGGTTGTCATGGCAGCGGCTCCATCACTGACCGGCACTTTGGCTCCCGCACGCTCACAGCACCGCACAGCCGCGCGCAGGCAGTGGGCGCGCGCTCTCAGGCGAAGGACGGCCGCCTTAACCCCCACCGCACCGTGCTCCACGGGGATGGGATGGGGTACCTCCCCCCTCTTCTCCCCTCCTCGCTTCCCGGCGTGCTTACCTGCACCCGGCAGCCAAACGACCTCTGATATTTACCCCCTCTGCTTCCACGCCATCCCCTCCCCGGGCACAAAGGCGCTGTGCAGGAGGGGAAACTGAGGCGCAGGATGGTTCCCCTTTCCCACACTTCCCATCACCCACCAAAAAAAAACCCATGCAGGCAGCGACAAGGAGAGGCAGGAGGGTGCCCTCCTGGTCCTCTGCACCTCACAGACATGAGCGTCAGCGCTAAATTCCTCCCCAGCTGCAAGCGCAGTCCCCGAGTACTTTTTATCAGCTCATAATTTAACAGATATCGCATTTGCTTATGCCGAGCAGTTCCTCCTTCCCTCCGCTAGCGGCCGGACGCGTTAATAATATTTCCAGGCACAGCTTCGTGCTGGCAAAAGGTGCTGGGAGCAATCCTCAGAGCTCAACATCCCGGAGCCACAGAGAGCTGCTCTGCCTTCAGCTCCTGCAGCCCCGCACCCCCGGCTCACGCAGTGCCCCGTCCCCAAATCCTCCCTCCTCCATCCCTCGCCGCACGCTCTGCAGCCCTCGCCCCGCACCGGGGAATTTTTGTGGGCTTTAAATCACTGCCAACCTGAGCTGGATTCCGAGGGGTGACCTAGATGTGAAAGGATCCATAGCCCGTTACTAATCCCCGGAGTCTCCGAATCCCCTGTAAACTACTGCTTAATTCACTAACTGTGCTATTTAATCTCTCCAACATTATGAGCTGTGCCAGGCAGAGGAAACACTCAATCAAATAAAGCTTTATTATTATTGTGCGCGCTGATAGGTCATATGAGAAGGGGATTGCTTTGCATCTCTCTCCTGACTCCTTTCCCTTCCGAAGGCTCTGCTTTATGAATCCAGCACTGCTGGGACGTGCTGCCCTGCATTCCCTCCCTCCACTTCCCGGCTCCCTGGAGAAGGGAGCAGCTCTCTGCAGCCCTCAGCGGGAGGAGGGAGCTCTGCAGCTCACCCTGCTCAGTGCAGGAGGGCTTCACAACTTTTGCAGCCACAAAACCTAGCTGCAAACAGCAAGACGAGTTTGTGACAGAATGAAACTCCACGTGCAGAGCTGCATTTCCTCTAGAGCAGGGAATTTTCAGGGATGTGTGAGTCAGCGAGGAACAAGAGGCACTGATTTTGCTGGAGCATCCTTTTGGGACCACCCTGTGCTACTTACTAGCTGCCCTCATGAACAGGACCCTCAGCGCACACCCTGCTCCCTTTGCCCAGGCAGTGACAAGCTCCTTCATCAGCAAAACCAATGGGATCACAAGGACTGCAGCCATGCAAACTCCTAAAGCAACATTCAAACTGGGCACCCTCCATCAGGACAGAAAGCACCTGTCAGTGCTGAGAGCAGGAGGACCTCAAAAGGCTTGCAGTGACTTCCAGACATCCCAACCCAAAGTCACCAACCAACCCTGTTAGGAGAAGCTTGGTGTCCTCTGCAAGTCCCAAGGAATTTAAATGGCTGGTTCCTGCATACCAATGCCCAGCAGAATCCCTGCCCATCCCGCTCTCCCTCTCTTGCACACATGCAATGTACATATAAATCAGCCTGTCACAGCTCGTCTCTTTTCTGACAGCTGTAATTGCTTCAGACTTTAAAAATATCTATAGACAATAAACGCAACGCATGAAAACAGCAAAGAGAAAACAAAATCAAGATTCCTTTCAATAATTCAGTCGCTCCAGCAGCAGAGGAGCCAGCAACCGAGTCCAGCTGTGAAGGTTCAGCAGGAAGAGAAAGAGAGCTTTGTAGCCTCCTCTGGGGATGAGAGAGCCTTTCTTCCTTCGCTGCTTTTTGACCACAGCAGCAGAGCCTGCCATGCACGGACGAAGATGCTTGCAAAGCAGCACCTCGCCTTGCTTTCAGCTCCTTTGCTTTCTTCCTGCTCAGATAAAAATCTCCTTCCTTCGCAAGCAACAGGCAGGAAACAAGCGGAACGAGCCGGGCGCACACACACACCTGCTCTGCACACATATTTATCTCCTCTCGCAGCCTCCAAGGCTGAAGGCCCCCCCTCCTGGCAGCAATTGAGAGCAGGAGGGGCGGGGAGCATCGCATGGAGGGATGCAGGGGAGCAATGAGCAGCAGGGAGGATGCAGAGAGCTCTCAGGGACACCGCCAGAAGGAGCCATGGGTGCTGCTGCGCAAAATATTTGGGGAGGGGAGAGATACTGACTCAATTTTCCAGCAAGATTGGACAGAGTGAGACTCGGCAGTGCCACTCTGCAGCAGCTCCTGGGGCACGCTCCCTTCCCTCGCCCCTGTGCTCCCCCAAAGCCCAGCCATGGCTTTTGCACCATCGGTTTGCCCCAAATCAGCTGCAACTGTAAGCCCAAACCCAGCCCCAGCCAGCATTCTCCACTGCTGCAGGGGCCTCCTCAGCGCTGAGCCTTCCAGCAAAACCTCCTGCTTTGGGGTGAAACAGAACAAACAAGGCCAACGTGCATCGCTGAGTGGTCCCATGCCCTGATGCAAGCCTGCCACTGACGCTCCTCCATCAACTGAAATAAAACAGTTTCCACCTCTTCCAGCTTGCCCAGAACTACACGGCATCCCTCTCCCATGCATCTGCTCAGAGGCTGCTCAATGGATGCCCTCACACCCAGCGGCCAGCAAACCTACACACACACAGCCCACACCTCCCCATACTGACAGAGTTCAATCCTGGAGGAAAAAAAAAAAAAAGAACCAACAAAAAACCTGACTTTCCATAAGTAGGTCACAGCCAGGCAATTTCTATGGCCGGATTTGGCTTTTAATTCCTTTTTTTTTTTTTTCTCCTTTTCACAAAGCTGATAGATGGCAATCTGTAACCCCAAAGTCCACGTTTATTTTTAGTCTGAAGTTGCCAAATATAATCAGAACCATAATTTATGCTCAAACCATTCACAATTCCCCTCCATGCTACGGCGCTGCATTATTCTCTATCAGGTCCATGGCTGCACACACGGCCTCACTGCTTGGCATCAGTCAGGTGCACACACAGCACTGAGCCCCGTGCAGCAGTGCCCATTCACGGCACACAAAGGATGTGGGCTCCTGCTCTGCTCACCACACTGCCTCATTTATCCCCTTGTTAACGCCGACCCCAATTAAGAAGCAATGATTGAGAGCCTTCCTTGGCTGGAGCCATTCTGAGCCCTTCTTGCCCCAAAGGCTTTCCCTGCATTGAGTGGAGAAATTGCATTTGGGGCCATTTGGGGCCATTTTTCTGAATGTGTGGAGTGTCCCCGCGGGCACTCGGCCCTCATTCCCTGACACAGGCTCCAAGCAGTGGGCACAGACAGCATACAAAATGCATAAAGCCATCCAAGCAGCTCCTCCCTGCTCCGCTTTCTGCTTTTCCCAACCTGTTGCAACTCAAGTCCTACCCCAGCCCACCCCACTGTGCCCACTGCCCACATCCCCACAGCTCTGCAACACCCCCAGGGATGGTGACCCCCCCCCCCATCCCTATGGGCAAATCCCCTTAGGAGACGTTCTGATTTATTGATTGCTCCTTTCTGACAGTTCTCACTATCTCAGCCTCCGAGCACAGCCCACCCAACACAACATATGCACTGATGGAGTGACACCTCCATACGCGCTGCTGTCATATTAAACATGTCTACTAGAGAATTCTCAAAGATACCGAGCTGCACTGGCACAGGGGAAGATATTAAGGGGGATTGATCCCAGCTGTGCGTGGTGTGGATCGATATTGGTTTCGGATCAATCTGCTGCTCGCTGCATGGCTGCAAGGTCGTGCTGTGTTAGCGCTCAGGAGCGCAGCCCCTCCGCTCACAGCATCTGATGGGACGAATCAGGTGATGACATCGGGTAAAACCACGCCGTGGGCCATCCAATAGCACTGTGTAAGTGTATGACATTAACCCAGTGCTCCGCAGCCCTACCCGCTCTGCATTTTAACAGCACCAAGGGAGGAAAAGTCTGCTCAGGCGGCACAGCAAAGCGAGCCGTGCCTCGGTGCTCACTTCAGCTCCTCAGCAGCTCCAGCACGGACACGAGGAATGCAAAGAACCGAGCTTTGCTCCTCTGCTTTTGCCTCCTGTTGTGCACTGATAAGGCACGTCGCATGGGCTAACACTTGTTTTCTCATTAAACACCAGAGCTGCGGAGATGCAAATGCTCCCATCCCAACTCCCGACAGCCAAAACAGCGCTGCTCTGCTGGACCTCCAACCCACACCTTTGCAGCTCCCGCCAACCCAAAGCGAAATGCTCATTTCACAAAGCACTGAGGTTGCCAAATGGCTCAGGAACAAAAGCCAGGCGTGCTGCTGCCCACATGCATCAGTGTTCTGTTTGCCACCCGTCCTCTGCCCCGCGCGGCGGGTCCAAGAATAATATTAATAATGACCATGCCATTAAGTGGGATGCT